ACATCTTAAAGATATACTATTTGAAATGAAAAATACATTTTGTTTTGATAGTGAATCATTTCGATATTTAGCAGCAAGAAAATGTCATGTGGATTTCGATGAATTTGTAAAAGTGGAATCTATTAATAGTTGGACAACATCAGTGACTGAATCTGTACGTTTACTTCATTTTATTCTAAAGCTAGAACCATATAATTTAAATGAATGGCAATCAATCAGAAAAGCCGCCCTGGAAATCTCAATGCTTGCTCGACCTCTTATGGAAACATTACGTTTAATACTTTATAATTGGAAATTATGTGAAGTTGGATTGACTGATAAAGAAATAGTAATAAATACAATTCCTGTTAAAATGAAGATATGTTCGAACTGTGCACAATGCAATATTGTACAAGTAGGACCATTTTACATAAGTGAATATCAATCCGATAAAAACAAAGCAGTTAAACATTGTTTGTGTCCATTTGATGACAGTCATTTTTTGATTGAATCCATAGTGAAGTATGAATTTGTTACACCACCAACCAAACTTTCCAGCGATTATTTAAAGGATTCTTTTTATAAGTTTCTGTTGAAATGTGATAGACTCATTCATTTCTTACGGCAAAAAGGATTATTAAATGAAATTGATCCATATATAAATGTACTGAAACGATTTCTGAACGAAGAACAACACATTTGTAATATTTCTCACATAAACTCGAATATGAATAAGAGAGTTCAAGAAGTATTACGTTGTCTACGAGAATCACGTGAACAGAATGGGAAAAGATTAATTCAATTAAATGAAAAATTATCACTTAGTCAAGCGTATCAATTAATTGATGAATTGAAATCCATACCAACAGTTAACCAACAAATCGATATCATCAAAATAGGTCGTCAATTGGTAATGAAAGCAAATGAACATCAAGTGAAAATATCTTTCATTAAAAATAAAATATTTTCTAAACTTACAAACTCTCTGTAGTAATGTATTTTATTTTTTAACAGTAAAATTAAATCTTTTCAATTCACTTTGTTGGATTCAAATAAATGAATGAGAGAAAAAAGAACTACAAAATAAAAATCCAATGAAATTAAAATTATAAGAATTGCTTTATATAACACTTATTTTCACAAGGTCAAATAGTCATAAAACGAATTCTTCGTTCAGTAAGAAGAAAATAATTCTATTACATTTCAGTTTTATCATTTGAATAAGATTTTTATGAATTTCTTTCGATTTCTTTTCTTTTTATATGTACTATTGTCTACATAATTAAATTAGGATCAAGTAAAAAAAATGCAAAATATTTAATTCTAAATATTTTATTTGATTGTTGATTTCTTTCCTACTGAATAAACTTAAGACTTTTAATTTTGTTTGTATATAAATATAAGATATAGAAGATAATATAACAAAAACATTTGATTTTGAAGTAAATTTCCATTATTTTCAGAAACTAAAGACAAAAAATCTTGTCTTGAGAACAATGTATTTCAAAAAAGAAATAACTGAAGATTTGTTAATACATCGGTTAGTTATGCTATTATTTCGTTTTCATTCTTTATTTCTTCATGCAAAACTATTCGAGAAGAAAAAAAACAAAATACCAATTGAATAACAAGACGAAGCATTAAAAATGGCGAGTCTTGTATTTAGTTCAGTCAAATTTATTTTCAATCGAAAGAAACGAAGAATTAATCATTTAAACATCGAAGTTTTCATGACTGTCCTTGGAATGCACATCTCTTTGCAAGTACTATTTTAACAGTTATAATTTAATAACACTCAAAACGTATAGATAATATAGAATCATGCAGAATAAAACACAAAGTAAAACAGACCGAGCACAATATATTATAAATTAGTAGAAATAGAACTATATTGCACTTCTTAATAGAACTAATCTGAGTTATATCAATCTCTAGTTAATAACAGAATGATAATTCAAAAAAAAAAAGAACAATGTACCCTAGTAACTTCGAGAAAAAGATAAGTATACAACTACAGTAGATAAAATTTTGTTTCACTAAAAGTTAACAGTGACAAATTGGATAAGAATAAGGTTGTGGACATGGCACAAAAATGGTCCATACCAACAACGACATCCAGACTTGGAGTTGGATCGACCGATTTACACTGTTTTTTTTTTATCGATTTCCCAGGTTTTAACGATCCAAATAATATGTACACATTTTTCCAACTGGCAAATTTCTGATCGCCATCAAAATGTCAGCTTTAAAGTTTGAATTCACGTTTTCTCACAGTATAATACGGATCTTGAAACCTTCTGAATATATTGGTTACGGTCACGAAAAGTTAACCAGCCATAAGCAGCTAAATTCAGTATAAGCTACAGATGTTCCAACTTATAATTTCGAGCTCCCTTTTCTGGACTGCTTTTAATTAAGTGTCAGATACCTTCGATAGCTAATAACTACGAATCATGTTTTTGTTTTAAAACTATCCGAGAAGATGTCGTTTTGCTGCGAAAGTTTTATCAGCTGTTACTTGATGAGGCTGTGACTACATCTAGGTATTGAGAACAGTGATGGAATCAGAAACATTTTTTTGGGATTGCGGTTCAGTCTCAGTTTGAAGTTGAAAAGCAACGATTTTCTTCGTCTATAATATAGGATAATCTCATTCCAAATGGAAGTGCAACGGTTTCTGGAGGGGACTGAAAGATTTCCGCGGAGAGCTGAGTCTCTCTAACCACTCACTGGCTCCATCACCAGAACATATGTCTAAATACAATTAAGTCGTTAAGAATAATCACTTTTGTTCACACTTTACGTAATTTTTTCATGTTTCTCAGCTAGACAATGAGGCCCAATAATTTTCTTCAGGAAGCAAAGGTTCGAATGTTTCTGGGAGGATCGATGATCAGCCATCTCTGACTTGACAACTAATTGAGAAACCTAAAAATATGAAGCTTCACGTAAAAATTGAATTTTGTAGCTAAGTTTGTTTATGTTAAATAATAATCTAGAATAGGAACACATCAAACTTATAGTCTTGTGAATAAATTACATCTTTGTTAAAGAAAACCAGACAAAGCACGGCATAGATGTTGTTCAATATCAGTTGCTCTCAGTTAATGGATGAAAAGTTTTGAAAGAGTTCTTTCTTCGTTCTTGGTGTTAGCGCATGTGGAACGTAATCGACTGAAATAAAAGTTGTTACTATTAGAAACTCTAACCATTATATGAGTTTCATATTCTATGTCTTGGTTGAACTGTACTAATACACTTTTTATCAACAGAACTAGTAAGTTAATGATTGATACATTTAAACGTACCAGTTTTTCGTCGATTTTTAACAAGTTAAGTCGAGAATTTCAACTGATCTGTTACATGCCAGTCCGGTTCGGTAGAAAACATTCGACCGGTTTCAAAATTGCCACACCTGTAGTCAAATTTTCGATGATGAAATTGAACTCTATCGACAGGATTCTTACTATATAATACAACTTAATGATAAACAAAAATTTGTGCATAAATAATTGACTTATTGATTGTTGAATGATTAACTTTTGAAAGTTATCCATACACGTCGCAAATATAATAATCATCTCTTTTAATTTATCTTTCAAAATCAGTTTTTCATATACAAAAATAAATATGATGGAACTTCTAATCGCATTCATAGACATTACTTCTTGATACTTCTCAATTTGTTGTGTACACAAAAAGAAACATCCTGAACTGATTTTCCGAAGAATTCCGCTAAGTTATTTTCAGATTTCAAAGACACGTTATTTGAAGACATTTATGTGATCAATCAAATATTGAGCTGCGCCGCACTCACTAAATATCATGTCATTCGTGTATGAATAACATTTGGACTACGAGTGGATCCAACTTTGCCGTTCACGTCAACAATACTACCTTGAAATGCTCCCAATATCAAGTATACAACGTTGAATGCAGAATATCTTCATCTTTGTTGCCAGTGAAAAGCTGATTTCAGAGAAAAATGGGACAGAAAATGAAGAAAACAGATGATCAGTATGGAAAAATTATCGAATCAGACAGAAAGTATGCTTTCTATAAGAAAATATGTACAAATGTGTACATTATCTGAGGAAAAAACATGGTTGAAGATTATAGAATAATAATTGACAGAGTATTGATCAAATAAAACGGCTTGAAAATTGAACAATAAAGGCCTGCGACGCATGGTTTTTAAATTTATTATCGTGTTTGATATTTGATACATTGTGCTAAGTATATGTTGTTTCGGGTTCTAAGCAGAAATTAATCTGCATATGCAATCATCTCAGTTACGAAGTAATTGTCGTTCGCTCTTCTTTCATGTACATAGATATGTGAACATTGAGACAAATGTCTAACGTCTGTGAGTTATATATGGATTGTTTTCAAAAATCGTCTTGATCCTCTATTTTGCTTCATTCATTTCATCGCACAGTAAGAGTAGTTTAATGACAGTCAACTGTTGAACTATTGAAAAAGTTTTCCTTATTACAAATAACGATGAACTTTCATCTAAAACATATTCAAAGATAACTATCTTGCTCATTAACTCTGGACAAGATTCTATTTATTCGGTGTGTCTTTCATATTGATATGCAGAGTTTTCTTTTTGAACTAAATTTTTATGTAACTTAAATATTTAATTTTTTCTTCATTCTGTTCATACGTTCTTAATGGATATATTAAATATTTCGGTACACTATTTTCATTCAGCGAGAACATGATGTAGAAAGTATAAGTTAGTATGCAAAGATAAAAACTGGGCTATATCAGCATTAAATATAGAGAATCGCTCATCTGCCTTTCAATGTGTTCGGTGTTCAAGAAAGCCTCTTCCACATTCTTCGTATTCTGTCATATGAAACAAAATGATGGATATTGCGAGAGAGAGACCATGAAATTGTAGCTAATTTCTTCTACCGTTAACGAATATTTTGGTGACATGTAGCAAAATTTCTTTTTGTTTTTGCATCTAGTCAAATCATTTAGGGTATTCATTTCCATATACAACACTTGAACACTTTATTTTAACCATTACCTTCACATTTCTCATTGAAACAGATCTTATTATGAAGGAAAGGTAAAACTAACTCACATATCAATCAATGAGTATGCATACAAAACCGAACGAATTGAATATTTGTTTTTTCATTTTTTCTTAATTTTCACTCTTCAAATGACTAATGAAGTATAGACGTAAAATAGAAACGCAACTTTCGAATATCTAAGATGCATGAAATCCTTATGATGAATCATTTTTTCCAAAATGGATAATCATTTTTTCGCACATAAAATATGTGTAAAAGTGTCAAATTAAAGCATTGTTGTGCAATATTGAATTATAATTCTTTTGTTTCTTACTGTTTTTACTCGACCAATATGAATTTCAAGAATTCAATTAGCTGATGTTATTTTTATGTTTCGTGTTTTCTTTGTGGAAGATCATCATATTTCGTCAGATTGTTCTTATCTACTGTGAAACAATCATTTATGTGATCAATCGAAAAGCTTTTCAACTGTAATTTCATCTTATTTATTCACTATCAGAATGAAAGTGGTCGAGTAATAATGGTCAGGACCTTCGAATCATTTGAGAGACTGATCTTGTTGAAAATGAACTACTACACTTCTTTCATAAAAAGTTGTCTGCTGATTTTTATCATAAATCGTTTATTTTGAGACAAAAGCAGATGGATGAGCAAATGAAGCATAGTTAACTGTAGCGTTATTGAGTGAATTGTTTTCTCTAAGAGTTCAGTTCAAGAAAAGTTTTAAAACATTAACAGTTGTTCAGAAATACTGATACAGTGCCCATGGAGTAAGTAGTCACAATATCAAGACGACCATCATTGTTGAAATCATAGAGAGCTATTGATGTCGGAATGTAACCTGTAACAAAATACCACCTTTCAAAGAAAGATCCAGTTCCATCACCAAGAAATATAATAAAATAATTAGAAAAGGTTCCGACAGCAACGACATCCAAGTAAGTATCACCATTCAAGTCACCTATTGCAACTGCATACGCACAGCTTCTAGCCAAATAGTGAACCGCTGCTCGAAAAGTGCCATTACCATTACCGAGTAGCACACTGATCGTACCATTTTCACAATTCGATACGACCAGATCTATGTGTTGATCACCATTCAGATCACCCACAGCTAGTGCAAATGGACTAGTCATAGTGGAATAGGACACTAGCAAGCTAAAAGTACCATTGCCAAAACCTTGATGAATACTCACATTATCACTACCATAGTTGGAGACAGCGAAGTCTAAGAGATTATCGTGATTGAAATCAGCTACAACAGACATGGCTGGCCAAATAAATGTAGAAGACAATTTTTGGGATGCGAAACTGCCATTACCATAACCGAGAAGAACACTGACAGTATTGGCGGCATTATTCGTGACCAACAAGTCAAGACGTTGGTCACCATTAAAATCTCCGACAGAAACCCAAGATGGGGTAGAGCCAACTGCAAAAACATATTGTGAACTAAAAGTACCATCACCAAGGCCAAGTGAAATGCCTACATTGTCATCGCCAGCTTGAACGACAGCTATATCTGCATAGTTGTCTCCATTGAAGTCGCTAACAACCATACCCATTGGATATGCACCTGTGTTGAGAACTATTGGTGGTGCAAAGCTTCCATTGCCGTAGCCAAGAAAAACATAGAGACGATTCTCGTACAAACTGGAAACGATGAAATCCATTTGATTGTCGCCATTTAAATCACCGAGGACAACTTCCACACTCAGATTTGCTGTCGTATATGAGTACTGCTCGTTGAATGTCGGGCTGCGACAGATGCGGCCTAGAGACCAATGGAGATCATGTAGGTAGAATATAAAATACATTACAAAGGAAACTAGCTTGTTTTGGATATAAATTAGCTTTGCAAAAATGTTTTGATGGCAGTTTCAATCTTCGTTGAGTAACAGACTTAATAGTCTGAATCTCTCCTCGAAACTAGCCAGCAGCATGGAAATTCATTTTATCACGGATGTGATTAGACAGCCGAAAAATAATCTTGTATTGGAAAAAATTCTTTCTGCCGAGTTGTAACAGGAATTAGTCTACTGAAAGTCTTTCTGATTTCTAGTTAGACTTGTACATTCTATGAATCTATACTTTATACTTCATTAAAGTAATGTTGAAACATGACTTTCGGAACAACTCATCTAATGCTAGCTATTCATGTTATATTCTAACTGTACACTTTACTTGAATCTAGAAAATGTTCTTCGAGATGGATGCATGAAATTACTGACTTCTGAATTTGAGCAGCTACAATTTCCAGAGCAACAAAGTGAATCTGCTTCTTTTTTCTATATTAATGTCTGTCCAGATCAATATAGGTACCCACGTGTGATATTTGTAGTAGAAGTGTTGATGGACATCGTCGATATTGTCGTAGTGGAACTACCATTAATCGAATTGGTTGATAATCTATCTAAAATGTGTCGAATGAGCCAAATTATGAAGAAATGTTACACCATGAAACAATGTCTTCAGTAAATTGACTATGCCTACTGACCTGCCATCGTCGTTGTGAGTCGTGCAGCATCGATAGTTGGCATTGATAAGATTAATGTTGTTCCTAACATACACAACAGATACACATGATGTTATTTTATAATACAGTATACGTCGTCTCAAATTATTGATTGCTTAACTCACGTATTGGAAGGGACAATTTTTATAATAGATCACCGAGACGAATGCTGCTCTCCTATCAAAAATTGTCTCTTAAAAGTCGCCGTGTAATGAAAGATCTGAACGAACTATCGAGTTCCAAATGCTATTCAATAAAAATGTTTCCCGATTGTCACTGAAAATTCTATGATATGTAGGAGAGACGCATTATGTAATGATTTCTACGACAGCAAATCACGTAAATCTCTGTAATATGCAACGTCTCAAGTAGAGCATGGTTCACAGCAAGAAAGCCTTGAATTTACAAATTGTTGGCACCTACGGCATCTTCAGGAATTTTGGAAAGTAGATGATATTTCTAGAAATGTACAACAGAAATTTTTTGACAACTCAGAATTTTCCTTTTCCCAACCTTGAACGTTGCTGGAGACAAGATTTGTGCAGTTGAATACGATCTACAAGCATCACCATTGGTAGACGTAAATGTGTTTATCTTCTTCTTTGAAGATAATCGTATATTATTTCCTGCTCTCTCGATAGTACGTTCCTTTCTTTTCGTAGCTGTATACTAGTGAAATAGACAAAAGAACTGTACACCCATGCCGATGTCATTTCCTTTCAACTATCAAAAAGATACTGGCATACATACATACCGGAGGAGATTGCAGTTGTATTCGAGACTGATCCTTCACTTCGAGTCAAGAGCACAGGTAAGACTATCGCTGCAACTATGAGAACCAAACCAGTAATCATGCCAACGATAATCAGTAGTTTTCGTTTGGTAATACCACTTTTATACAGAACAATAGCAAGACACTTGAGATATTAAAGACAACAAAGACATACCTGATGAAAACTGACATTGTTTTTATTGATCACTAATTGATAATGTTGTATTCCACAGCGGTGTAGAGTGTGTGAATCTAAAACATAACATCAGTTAAGAATCGGAATGTTTCAATTATGCTCTGACGAGTGTTCTTAAGATGCAATGTGGTAGATGCTAGTCACTGTTCTTTAGTATTTTACTTAATGTAGAGAAAATGACAAAATACAATCGCTTATGAAATAATATTCACATAGTTTTGTCAGAGAACTCAAGAGTCGTTAGTCATATTTTCTTATCCTCTATTTGACGTCCTATTCACATGGATTGAATGTTTTCCAGTTGTGCATTAAATCGAGAAAAATAGAAGACTGGGGAATAGGAATCTCATAAGTCTGAACTTGTTGATATTCGAAGGACGACTATATTTGATACTTTGTTGTCTTCATTGATGTATTTTCTATTGGATCATGGATACACATTTACCTATGCAGTGATCGGAGATGGCAACAGAATTCGAGACTGTAAAGAGAAAGACAGAAAAATACTGTGAAAGAAACTACTTATAATAACAACCGACACCACTCGCTTATATATTCAAACAAGTCTCTTTGTTTGAGAAAAAAAGAAAGAACATCATACATCCCGCGCATGTAATGATAATGCTGTCGGAAGTGCAGTGAAATGCTCAGCAGCTGTGAGATGTTTTTTAGCGTCAAGGATGTCGCCCTGGAGAATGTCCCTAACTGGAAAAGCAAAAGGTCAGAACCTGATGCTATTATTCTTGATAGTTATTACAACACTAGACAATAAGACAACTGAAAGAATGTTGAAAGAGAACATTATTTATTTAATACATTTCGCATATCATATTTGCAAACGTCATCTGCTAAAGAAAAGCAATTGTTTTGTTTCTATATATGCGCACTCTTTTTAGATGATAAAATTATGATTAATGCCTTTAACACGGCTTTATTGTGGTTTTGGAAAAGAGAATTTGCGTAAGATATTGTCAAGCACGGATGTTGTATGCTTTGCTACCGTGAACTAAGAGGGTCGGATAAACGAAGTATTTCCCCCAGTACTCTTAGCGTTGGAAATGCTTCGTGTTTCTCTAGTAGAGCTGAAATTTTCTTTTGTTTTTGCGTTCTATCGTTGTCATATGGATGTTCCATGAGCTATCCTAATCTCTAAACCCAACGGATTCCATCAAATGTTGGTCATTTTGGAATTAATCTCCTTCCATGCATTATAGGAGATCGGAAATATCATTTAGATTCATAATATTATCATCAGTAGAGTTTTTTCTGTAGGAATCCACTAGTAATGACTCAAATTGTTCAAACCAATGTCACATCTCATTGAATACTTTACAGATGTATTAGATCAACGACGATAGCAGCACAGATCCTATAAGAAGCAGTATACAGACGATGGTGACATGATAGTATTTAGATTCAACGATTTTCGGGGATTATTCTTCAAAATGGCAATCATTTGCTTTGTCATTATTCTTATTTACTGTCAATGTTCTGCAGTAATCTGTCGTATTATGATATAAAGTTTAGAAGTGCATTGTTGAAGTTTCATTATGGTGAAGTGAAGAGCAGTCAGCCATCTAATTGTATTTGTCTTATATGATAAATGAAAGCACTTATTCGTTTTCAAGATTATTTTAGAGACTGCAATACGAAAGTGTCTATGTTTCCTCGAGTGATTAATTTTTCTCAAATAATAATAAGAAAAAATGATATGTTTTCTCGTATTTTGGCAGTGAATAATTATTTCTGAAGGAAAGAGCGAAAATGAAAGGAGAAAAACACTAATAAGTGAGAGCACATGGACATATGGTTAGCGAAGAACTCTCATTGACGAGAAAATATTTCTATGTGTCTAAATTCTCTCTCATTCTAGCCTTTACCTGCATAGAAATATTGAATTGCTATCGTTTACGGTAGTGAACGACAGAAACAATGATGCTCCAGTTGGAATCAACAAACCGAGACGTTAATCAGCAAATGAATCAGCAGCTTCAATTCAAGGTGTGGCTTTGGCCTAAAATTCATAATCGACATAATCAAGAGACATGTCTACACAGTTTTCGGAATTGTTTAAAACAGGAAAATTGTAGTAGCTATCGCCATTGTAATACTAAAAGCTTGTGATACTTAACGTATATGCGTTGAGTACGATGTTGATGGTCAAAAACTTCTGTTAAAATGACTGAGAAACATGTAAATTTTGCTCTCGAACTTTTATGAAACAGAATGTAGATGTCAGTGTAAGTCTCTATGGTTGAGAGTGTTTTCTTCCCACATGCCAGCTCTCTCACGTGTACGTGATCACAGGACTCTCATGCAAACATCATCGTTCTTTTGCACCGGTCCATAGTGATATGTTTATTCATAGAAAAATGAAAAGAATCCTGAACGAGTAATATGAAAAATTCAAGAACAAATCACAAATGGCTTTCCTATCATCAATTCAGTTGCTACTGAATGTTTGTAAGCTATCAGCTATGAATTTCCAAGCAGATAATGTATTTCTTTACATCGAATAATCTCTTGTGCGCAGTAGAAGAAGCACACATGGCTAAATTTTGAAAGAATTCGGCTTACATGTTTCGAAATTTCACATACATTTTTTTTGCATCACTTTGTATGATCAACCAATCGTTATACAATGACGTTCTTACCAAATTTTGCAATATACATCTGAAATTTCATCCTAATTAATTCTTTTGTTATAGGAATGAAAATCAACAAACGATAGTCTTCAGTCTCTCTTTCTCATTAATTAATATAGATTGAACTGTTTCAGGTTTTTATTGTTAATAACGTTTAATCCAAGTAACCTAGGTCGAACATTTACGTTCGTAAACGACTGTGCACCGAGAAAAATGGTGATATACAGAAACCGTAAACGAATTCCGTATATGATGAATGTACATGAAGCAAAACGATCAGAAACGAATTTCATATACGGTCTTCTATTAGCCTGTGTGACCGCATACATTTGCTGTGCGTTCATTTTTTTAAAATTTGTAGTGAAAGCGAGTAAGTACGATTATAAAAATAAAGAAAGACACGATATCTTCGAAATAGACGCAGATACTACTTCTTCCAATTTCACTTCATTTCTCGTGCGCATATGGCAACATGTTCTTTTTTTGATTTCAGTCATATATCAACGTACAGATATCCCAAAAATTCGATGGCATGTTTGTAGCAC